CAGTGTAAGCGTTCAAGCAAACCACTTCTGAAGATGCAAGCCACTCGTGCTTGCGAAACGCCAAGAAGAAATTCTACCGAACGACGGCCTAAAAATCCATTAGTTTCAATCAGTTGCTTGCCCGATTTGCATCAGAGATGATTTTCACCATAAAGTCTTGAGTGCAAGACCAGTCTTGCTCATCACTAGTAAAATGTTGATCTGTTTAGGTTTGCAAGAACATGCCACTTGAATACGGATGGAAATGTCGTCTGCGACTGCCAGCCAGGCTATGTGGGCCTACGATGCGAACATTGCGCTCCAGGATTTACTGGAAATCCGCTCCAGCCGGGAGACACCTGCAGGCCTGCCAGCCAATGCGATCCCCAAGGAACTCTCGGCCAGGACGCTGATGGCCGATGCCTTTGCAAGGTAGGCATCGCCATTAACTGAGCAATAACTGGCTGTAGCAAAACGAACAGAATTTGAAAATTCCCTTAGACTAGTGTTTAGATTACTGAATTAATGTGGTTTTATTTTCGATTTTCTCCACGTCCTCTCGATGGATTTGGTGAGTAAATGACCATCGCTCTTTCACTGTTGCCCTCATTTTAATGGCTTTTTCAGTTGATTAATAGTTAGAATTTTCTTTTCCGTACATCGAGTGAGGTTGACTCGCACTAACTAGTGACTAAATCGATACATCGTAGGCTAGATACTCACTATAAGTGGCCTTCTGGTAGCGTGTTGTTTTACCTCATTCGCCCCCTTCGTTGAGATTCTCCACGTTGGCAAGCTTCTATTCTATTCTGACCTTCTGGTTATGTAGGAATACTCTGCTGGCCCCTTGTGCAACCAATGCCAGCCCAACACCTTCTACTTGAGCAACAGGAACCAGTTCGGCTGCATCGCCTGCTTCTGCATGGGAGTGTCTCAGCAATGCTCCAGCTCCAGCTGGTATCGGGACACGGTAAGTCAGCTGCAGCTGCGCTGAATGGAAGCTGACACTTTGAGTTCCCTGCGCAGCTTGGCTCGGTGTTCACCAGCTCTACCAATGACTTCCGACTGACCGACATTGCCAAGGAAAACGCCTTCAGCGACGGCATCCAGCTGAACCAGGATGGAAGGGAGCTGCTCTACAGCTCCTTCGGCCGACCGGAGGTCTACTACTGGTCGCTCCCCAATAAATATCTGGGCGACAAAGTCACCTCCTATGGGGGCTTTTTGAGGTACTCCATCCGCAACACTCCGGTCCCAGGAGGGGCCAGTTCGCGCAACAACGCTCCCGATGTGGAGCTGGTCAGCGTAAGTCTGCAGGTGGCAGTTCCTGCAGCGACTCCCAACTAACTGATTTTGAACAGGAAAACAACATCAACCTGCAGTACTTCTCGGCCAACGCCAGCCAGTCCACCAACGCGCCCCAGACCTTTGTGGTGCCTCTTCTCGAGCAGTTCTGGCAGCGCAACGACGGCCAGAAGACCGACCGCGAGCATCTCCTGATGGCCTTAGCTGATGTGCAAGCCATCTACATCAAAGCCACGTATTTCACCAACACTCAGGAGGCAGCGTAAGCGTGATCGCGCTCCTCTGTAGGCTCCTCTTCAATTTTGTGTCCCCCCAGTTTAATCTCGGTGTCTTTGGACACAGCGACCGATCAGAACACTGGCAGGGAGCGCGCCTTTGAAGTGGAACAGTGCCACTGTCCACCAGGCTACACTGGACTGTCCTGCGAAGACTGCGCCTTCGGCTACACCAGAGCAGGCGAGGGGATTTACCTGGAGCTTTGCATCCCCTGCGAGTGCAACGGCCTGTCCAACGAGTGCGATCCGGAGACGGGCGATTGCAGGGTAAATTCCCCGGTTTTAGAGCGCGACTTTTTGAGCCTTTGAGTAGAATTGCAGGAACAACACGGGCGGCAGCCAATGCGAGCAGTGCCTGCCAGGCTTTACCGGGGATCCCACCAGGGGGCAACAGTGCTCGCCCCATGGGCCTCCTTTGCCTTGCAACTGCGACCCGAGAGGAACTGCCAACAATGGCTGTGTGCAGGGGGCCTGCCAATGCAAGGTGAGTCCCAAGGGAGTTTGCGACTTACTGGTTTACCTTTTCTGATCCTTTTTCCAGTCGAATGTGGAAGGAGCCAGTTGCGATCGGTGCCGCAATGGGACGTTCGGGCTGAGCGCCAACACGATTGAAGGATGCGAGTTCTGTTTCTGTTCAGGAGTTTCGACCGAGTGCAGCCAAAGCCACCTCTATCTGGAGCAAATCCCCGTTCAGATCACCGAGGAGCATCACTTCATCCTGACGGATGAACAGTTCAAAGTGACCATCAATGAAGGCTTCAAGATCAATCTGGCTTTGAACGAGATCGGCTACACGTTCCCCCCGAGTCGGCGCGAGAAGATGTACTGGTCCCTACCGCCCATCTTCACCGGCAACCAGATCAAGTCCTACGGGGGCAAGTTGGAGTATATGTATCGCTACTTCGAGCTGCCCTACGCGCGCTACATTCAAGATAAAGACATCATCATTTCGGGCAATGGTGTGGTGATTTACTGGGCTCGGACTGATGATTTGCGGCCGACTATCATCAACAGTGTCAGTGTGCGGTTGCATCCCAGCGCCAACTGGTATAGGATTGATGAGCGCGGCCCGAGACGCGCCTCTAGAGAGGACATCTTGACTGTTCTGGCCAACATCGATACGATTCTGATCCGGGCCACGCCCTCCACTGATACTTCCAGTACGTTCCTTAGCGATATTTCCCTGGACACTGCCGTTGATGTGTACACTGCCAAGCCATACGCTGCCAGCGTGGAGAATTGCCGGTAGGGTAGACTGGGTTGTTGAAGGGGCAGCGCTCTTGATCGCTTCTTGTAACTTGCCAGATGCCCTCCAGGCTACCGGGGCACCTCTTGCGAGGCCTGCGCCTCCGGCTACTACAAGGACCCCTCCTACTCCAACACCCATCCACTGGGGACGTGTCGACCATGCCCATGCAATGGGAAGGAGGAGAGTTGCCACCTGGACCACAGCTCCAGAGATGTTGTCTGCAACTGCCTGCCCGGGTACTCCGGCCGCTACTGCGATGAAAGTATGTGTTGACCCAAACTCCCCTACTCTTTGCATGGCATGGTAAAATAGTCAGTTGGGGGATCCAATCCTGCCGTTTTTGCGCAACTTTGCATGTGGTTTTACATACTTAAGCCCCAGTAGAGCATTGGTTTTGCTATGGGTAGTTTCAGAGAGTGTTTAGCATATGCAAACATGCACTGAACAAGCATCCTCCTTTTAAACATTCTGAGAATGATGAAAACTGCATGCCAATGAACAGTAAAAAGGTCCCCACACTCACCCCACCTCAATGCTAATTGATTTTGTTTAACCCGCACGCAGAAACGCCCGATAAACTCCCAGATTTAAGTAACATAGTGGAGGTAAAAGTGAGCATGACGCCCTCTAGAGTGGTGGCTCCCATTGGGCAGCAGGTGGCCTTCACTTGCACATACCAAGCAGTGAATCTCACTGCCTACAATGAGGCGCTGGAGAGTTCTCGCTGGCAAGTGGCCATCGAGAACCTGGACAGCGGCCTCAGAACGAAGCTGAGCGATCTGATCCGGTTCGAGGGCGGCGCTCAGGCAGCGTTTTACGCAGTGGTCGGCTGCGTTAAGCAGACCATTCGCTGTTTAATATTGAATCGAAATGACACTGTTGTCGGGACAGTCAGTGTTGATCTCGTCCCAGGTTTGAACTGTTTCTACCATCAATCCCTGTAGCGCTTCCTGTGTTCCACCTTGTTCATATCTGGCGCCCCATCTTAGTTCCGAGCTTCGCTTAGCGTCCCAGAGTTAGGCGATTGGGGGCTTCGCCCCCCAATCGCTCTAACTCACACTGGACTAGATAGTCAATACTAAAACCACTACCAGCCGTTTGTTAACACGCCCCTGTATCGCCTGTTTGTGTGTGTTTTTTCAACACTTCATCGTTCGCTGCTTGTTCTCTTTCTAGATTAATTAGTGAATAATATTTTATTAAATTGTCTACTGTGTTTGAGGATCCGGAGGGTGAAGCATACATGTCCAAATTTTGTCCATTTTGAACTAATCGGGCCAACTGGTAGAGCAAAATGATACGATCTCTAGGCCTGTTTCCAATGAATACTGGAGAAACAAAATTTATGTGCGCGCGGTATTAATCTTTAACAAGCAAAACAATTACTGTTTTTGTTATTTCCTTGCAGTCGCCTGTAGTGTTTTGTGTTTTTTTTTTCAATTAAGTATAGTGTTTGTGTATTTTTTGTGAGTGAGTGTGAGTAACACAACTTAGTGCGCTTTATGATCGGCCCTGCGTTGGAGAATGAGTTTCAAAACATCATTCGGACCAAACCCCTTCGGATAGAAAAGCGCTTGTATCGACATTTAAAAAAGCACTCTTTTCTCTATTAATGCCATAAAAACCAGTTTAATCGAGATAGTGAGTAAAATTTTACAAATTTTTGATCATTTGAGTGCGCTTTATGAGCGAACCATTGTTGCAG